CGTATGCGTGGGTACGCCTGCGGGAAACAGAGGGTATATCGACCCAGCACAGCAGAATCAAGGAGTCCATCCCTAAATCCACTTGCGTCTCTGGGCAAGTACCGATGACTTTTGGTAGGCGATTAATTCCCCTATCTGCCACCTGGGGACGCCCTACGTAGCCTCCTCACTAACCGACCGGGGATCCTTCAGTGAGAGAGAACTCAGTGAAGGAGATCCGTAGCGTTGGCTATATATTTGCCAAAAACATAAGTAGAATGGACCTCATTTCTCTGCTCCTGGAGGAGCCCCCAATATGGCAGCGTTGGGTAGGACCATTCGGGAGGGGCTGCTAAGATATCAGGGCCAAAATAGGCTGCCCAAAAGGAGAAGAACTAATGTAAGATCGGATCTGATGATGCAAGCTAGGAAGATCAAGTACGACGTCATCGGACCGACCCAAACGAGAATTCATCGCCCCCTACATGCTGCATTTGAAACTGGAGAAGAGCGGTTCCTTGGAACATGCGACAGCAGGGGCATCGACGGCAACCCAGATCAGATGTTCGCCATTGAGAAGATGTGGCTCAACCCCAGCTCTAACAATCTTCGTTGTCTACCTACCAACATCGAGTTGCAAAGAAAAAGAGGTGAAAGCGTTTCATATGGATCTGAGAGGCTCTTCAGAGAAGATCATACTTTCTCCAAGTTCATCGTCTGTGATTTCAACGCCAAAATTACCCTCAGAAGATGGATGAAGAGCTACATATCGGGACTGACAAAATGGAGTTCTGTCAGAAACGTGAAAGGCTGTCTGAAATCATCTTTCCAACCCACACCATCCGTAGTAATTTTCTTCAGTAAGTTTCTGAAGTCCTCTCATTTGCGATGGACTTAGGAATCGCCTGGTGGACAGACCCATAAAGTAGAACCCATAATGATTCAATTGAAAGTTTTGTCTGACTGACGTCACTGTTGTTCCAAACTCGTGCACAGGATCAGACCATCGCTCCTCCGTAACAGATGCTACTTTTCAAAGCGTGTAGGGAGGCCTGGGGCCGTCGCCGACTGGGATCACTTCTCTTCCCATTCGAGCTTATGGTAAGATTCGATAGCGCCCGGTTGCTAGCAAACTATGTTTATAAAAGGAAAAACACGCGGACAAAAACAGTGCATCTCACATCCATAATCTGTCTCATCGCAATCTGTTCAGATCCAAAGAAAGTTCCTTCATCTTGACCGTAATCATCTCTGAATTGAGCTTAACCAGAATGTAGATTTTCCAGTTGTTGCACTACATTCTTATAGAGCTCCATGGATTGGTTTCAATGGTATTTTCAATTCGTAAGGCCCTTTTTATACGGGTACTGTGTGTAAATGCAATAGCCAGGTGGTGGCGGATTATAACGACGACTCTCTAATCTTGTGGAATTGAGATTTTTAGCTGTTTCCTGTCTGCTTAAGTACCAAACAGATAGCTGGTTTCCTTCATCCAGCTAGCTAATCTTTATCATTAGCGATCAATTTTCCATATACCTTGTACCTCTATAAACACCTGTGACTTTCTTTAGAAGGAAAAGGTGTGTTGTTGTTTTTTAAAAACAAGAAAGCACACATAAACAAATACAGACAAGCTTAGCAGTAGTGGATGTAATGTTGAATCACAACGATCCTCAATAGAAAAGATCTCGGTTATCACAATAATATATGGATCATACATCATAAATAACAACATACATATATCATTTCCGGAGAAGTACGTCTTATTGGTACCAAGCGACTCAACGGATCGGCCAGCTTCACGGTTCACTCCCCTGACTTCACTTCTAACATTCTTGAGGTGCGGCTTCTGTCATAACTCAGTTGAGCTTAAGGGTTTGAATTGTGCTGATTCTTGCCATTGTTATTCATCTCTTGGTAGCACAGAAGGTCAAAAGGTCTCTTTCCTACTCAACTCTCTGCCACACGTTCCAACTACCTCGAAACATGCAGCCCATTGAGATTCAGAGGAGAGGAAGACTTTATTGTGGGTCCTAAACTAGTAGAGCAGTAATAGCGTCAACACTGAAACAATTCTATAATATGCGACTGTTCTAGTCTTGGTTACTCCCTAATTCTTCAAACTACTCCGATGGGCTTAGGAACTTGCGAAGTGAAAATTTCTCATGCACCCTTGTGAGGAAATCGCACGTCGGTCTATGCCCGGTCGCTATTGAAAATCTACATCCCTTTTAGGGTTTCAGTGAACACATCTCAAAGCTGATAACTTCTGATTACCACGTTTCAGACAAGTCGCCACCACCTGAAGTTGCCTTCATCACCACAATGCTCCACGAGAGTATTGGTAGAATGGTTTGAGGCTTACTCTGTAGGACCACTTCTTCTGTTATTTGCTTCAATCGCTCCTACAAAAATGAGACCGTTATTGAAATAGCAAATCAGTTCGGCTGGTCTTCGGTCTAATCCTAACCTATAAGGGACTGATACTACAACAGCAAACTTCAAACAGAATTTGCCGTCGAACTAGCTCCTTGAAAACCCTAACAATAAGAATCGTTCCCAATGGGAATGCACCGCCTGCTCCTAATAAAAAAGCTTGAGTGTGTTTTTTTCAACGGACAGCAACCATTCCAGCATCTAGATGGCTTCTGAAGGTGTCGCACCTACCATTGAACGCGATCGTCTACCGGTAGTGAACGATGAAATCACAGCGGATGAGAACCGATACCGTTTGCTGCAAATTCTCGGCGATGGAGGATACGGCACAGTGTTTCTTAGCCAAAATGCGCAAAAGTGAGTTTTAAGGAGTGGCATCATTTCTTTTGATTGAGAAGCGTTATCTAGCAGGAACATCGCCGTGAAGACGGAAAAGTACAGCAAGTCGATGCTCCATATTGAAGTGAACGTACTAAAAGCTGCGAATGCCGCCAAGTGCAAGCACTTCTGCCAGTTATATGACTACGTGGGCTAAGAATCTCCTTACACCTATAAAATCATTTGCTGCACAAAACAAAAAGTTTCAGGGTACTTGTAAGCCTGATTATGTCTATGTTGTGATGACTCTACTTCATAAAGATCTTCACAAACTGAGAGCGGAAATGCCTGATAGAAAGTTCTCCTTTAGCACAGCTCTTCGTCTAGCCATGCAAACATTTAATGTAAGTTCGAAAGAACTGATCTATTGGGTTGTAACATAAGTTCGTAGAGTTTTTTCACAAAAATTTATTTGAACCAAAAAACAATAATTATAATAATAAATTAACCAATGATGTATCCTCCGTTACTGTTCACGACCTCCTCCCATCTCTCGACTAATTTGTTGATGGCGATTCGCCGAAAATCGGCCGATGTGGTGTCGAAGAATTTGTTGAGCCAGTTTTTAAGGTCCCCTTCGCCATCGAAGGTAACACCCCTCATTGGGTTTAACATGGAGCGAAAAAGGTGATAGTCGGCAGGTGCAAGATCCGGAGAGTGCGGTGGATGCTGAAGATCCCCATTCAAGCTCTTGGAGTGCTGTTTTGACGACTTGAGCAATATGGGGCCTGGTGTTGATGTGGAGCAAGATGACTTGACCACCTCTATAAGGGTTTTTCAGCCGAATAGCCTCATTTACACTGTTTAGCTGGGTAATGTAGACCTCCTTGTTGACAGTGGCGTTTCGTTCGAGCAGTTTCCTAATGCACCTTGCCTACCCAGTCCCACCAAACGCAGATCATAACCTTTTTTTCGGGTGAA